GAGTGATACCACCCATTTTGGGAAACACTGGCTTAGATTGTTGAACACTCAGGCTTTATTCAGGTTGGGGTTTTTTTATTAAAAAAAAATACTGGTTAGATCAACGAAGTGGAAAGTTTTAGTCTCTCAAAGTACTTGATTAGGAAAGATGTTTGTCCAATGGACTTTCAACGTGTTTTGGGAAGTTTATTTTCCAGCATGACTAGAACAGCTGTGAGTGTATATCAGGAAAAGTGAAACACTTTGAAAGGCTTAGTGCTGGAATGTGCTCTGATAGCAGTCATTGTTGCTAACATTTAAGAACACAGTGCTTAAAGCATTTCTGCTCACCCCTGGGAAGCAATATAACACAGAACATTTCCTTTTACCATTCGATGTTGAAAACTGATTTTTTTTCTTTCCAGCAGCAAATAAAACCCAATTTTCAGCTGGAAACATAAAGTGGATTTACCATAAGGGCTTAACGGTAGTAAGTAAAGCCTTCTAAAACATAAGTGGATTTAAGTTTCTAAAGAGCTGTTGAGATCTCTTGGTTCTGGAAGCTATATAAAGCCCAAGGGATACTCCTGGAAAACTCTGGGGAATGGCTTTGCTTGGGAACACAGCTGAATTCACATGTGGCTCTGCAGCATTATCTATTGAGGAGATCCTTACCTGTATTGCTACAACATGGAACTTGATAGTGACTGGAATAAACTTGGTTTGGGAGTCTACAGATCTTTGCATTGGTAAAGAACATGATGCTGCTTACATAATTCTCCAGCAACTGGTGGCCAGAATAGGAAATGTCAACGTTCTCCCTCACTGGGGATGCTTTTCTCCCCAATTGCTCTATCTCAGGCTAGTGTTTCAGCCCCACACACTTCAACACTGCTATAGCCTCCATCATGTAGCCAGCAGGCCAAAAAATAAACTAGTTCAGGTCTTTTCTTTAACAGTTATTGCCATGTGTAATGAATCCCTCTTTGGGGGCATTCTCATTAGAGTTTTGGGAGTTCATGGGACCTTGACTCATCTCTAAATATCTTTCGGCATGTCATTTCCATCTTCTGTTGGTACGGTATCAGGTGTCGTGACCTCAGAAGTTTGATGACGATGATTAATTAGACAAAAACAGAAAAATAAATTGCACACTTAAATTGCTTTGAAGGACCAGGTATTGAAACATTAGAACATGTCCATCATGAATGAGAGATAGTTGAGGTGGGTGGAAGAGCGTTGGAGCCAGTTCATGTCAGGTTGGAAGATGGGAGCAAGATGAAGGTGATCTGCAACAGAGTCCAGTTGCTGCTTGGAGGATGTGTGACATGGAAGTTTCTTAAGAGTGAGACAGTACTACATACTATTCTGGCTTATCTGGTCTGCCTAATTTTCTTGAGGTTTCCTCCTGTAGTTGGATCTGGAGTACACCCTACATAACGTCTCTCATGACACCTACGGTTTTCCTTGGAGTAGCTTGCAGACATCCATAGGGTTCCTTTTGAAGATAGCCACTCAGGAGAGGAGGCTGAATTTGCCTGCACCACAATGGTGTCCTCAAATCTAGAAAGAACTACTACAGCAGTCCCTATCATTTCCCACTTTCTTGCAGAAAGCAGGGGACTGCCTCCAACCTTCCTTCCATCCCTGTCCTTAAAGTTAAAAATCTCCTGTTAAGTCCAGTAGGTGTAGCCTGTCCTGGCTTTCCTGCTGATGTGCCATAGGAGTTGCAGCCCAAAGGTGGTCATGTAGAAGACAACACAGTGGAGAAAACTTGTTAGAATTGTCAAGACTAGTCCAAATATTTTCCTTGGCTGCAGTTCCAATTTTCTGTGCACTTAATGTTTATTCGATCACAGCAATACATACATGGGGGAGGAAGGCAGTAAGAGGCCCAGAATAATTAGACAAACCGTACCTTTTCTGTCCCATTGCTGTGTCACAAAAAGATAACAGCTTCTCACCATTTTGGATGGGAAGCAAGGTTGCCTTAAGGCCTACTTTCTTTCTAGTTCTATCCCCTTCCTCTCTACCCTCACCAACAAAGATGCCACTGTGCATATTATTAATCAGTGTCTTAGGGCTATTGAGAGCTGCAGGCGAGTTGATGGTGGCCAAAGTTAACTTATTCCAAGCACACTCTGATGAGACTTGGTTTTTGTCACATTGCATATCTATACCGATCTGTGGACTCCCCTGGTTCCAAAGTATGTAACTTGACACGGCTGCCAATTTGACATTTAGCAGCAGCCTGTACATTGCCGAGCACTATAAATACTGTGCTTTCTAGAGAAGCTGAATGGTGTAGCACTACTCTTGGACTATTCTCTCTTGCCTTCATTGTGTCATATGCAGTAAGCTCTAGGTTTTTGTTTTGGGGGATCTTTTTCTTTTCTTTTCCTTTATCTCCTGTTTTGCATGGGATCACCCTTTGTAGCACCTAGTCTTCCTGCTTATGGGTTCTTTGATACACAGTCAGCATCCCTTATGGAGCCACTCAAGAGATAGCGATACCTGTCAGTCTTCTTCGGGTGGGACAGGGGCCTTTTGGGGACAAATTTGACATGGACTCTATTCACCTTCTCTTCTTTCTTTCCTTAAATGTCAAACTACTCATGGACACACCACTCATCACAGCCTCATTAAGCAGCTATACATACAGCCTTTTCCGAGGAAAGGGTTATGCCTCTGTTGTTACCATTCCTGAATGATCATTATATCCAATGAGGAGGAGTATGACACCCGAATGCTTGTGGATCATCTCAAAATCACTGGCTGGTCCAGTTTGATATTTCATTGCTGCTCATTGGTTAGCCCCTGATTTACTCCTTGAACAAACCAGGGTGATCATTCTGCTATAATGGGCTTCTGGAAGGCTACCCAACCTTTCCTGTTGGTTGACCTCACACATGGCAGAAGCCCCTCCATAAATCTTAAGAGGAAGTTGCCTTCAAACCACTCCCATTGGCAGTGGCTTTGAAGGAGAAAAAATGGGGAAGGTGACGGCTGAAAAGGCAGCTAGCCACACTTTTGCTGCTTTGGTGCCCCATACGTTGAGCATTTGACATTATTTGGAAGAGAAGAGGACCACATGTTGAGCATGGGGATGATGACAGGCTTGAAGCTTTGCCTTTTCATATATTGAAAGGTGCTCACCCTTTTGAGTGGCTTGGTAAGTGTGGTGCTAATGTGTATAACCCTCCTCAGGTTTTTTTTCCTCCTCCTTCCCCATGTCCCCCTCTAACGTTTGTTTCTCCTCCCGCCCTTCACTGTGTCAGTCACAGCGCTCTTAAAACTCCCAGCTGGTCTTGTATTTATTTTATGCTTTCATTCTTCTTTAATAAGTACATTACTTGCAAGCAGTGAATTGAAAACAAAGCAAACGAATTAAAAACAAAAACAAATTACCATTAGTTGGTTGGACAGTTTCTTACTTTGTGTTACATTTAACTGTTCTTTTGACAGCCCAGTTTTTAAAGCCAGGTTCGTATGGAAATGCTTTCACTCCACCTGCACCGCTTTTGGAAATAGCATAACAGCTTCATTTGTCTGTTTCTTTTTAGTGCATTCATAACACAACACATGTAGCACAATGTCTCATCTGGGCGGTAGCTGTTTCCTTTTGCAGGAGTGGGAGTACAAGCACAGCTGTTTTTCTGTCAGAACTTCTTGCCAGCCTGGTGTTGACATTTTTTATTGAATAACCTTCCCCATCCTTGCTGCATTTTTCCATATTAAAAGCCATGGGAAAGGGTTTTTAAAAAAATTATTATCACAGCTACATATTCCACCCCACCCCGAACAATCTGTTGACAGAAATAGAGCCAAGCAGAGTGGTATGGGCATATAGAAGGAATCACAAGTTTTCAGGAACACACAAATAAATCTAAAACATACTCCAAACGAGCTAACCCCCAGCCATGTAAGGCCCAATTAGGATTGAGCATGCTCAGTTGACCAAAAAACGAGTGCCAGTTGAAAAACAAATGGAAAACCAGGGAAAGAGGGGTTTTAATCTGGCTCCTAATAGTGTATCCAGGAAAGGTGTGGCTGGCTGGAACCCTGAACAGGAGCGCTCCTGTTAGGGACTGAGGATATGCTGCAGGTCCCACTGTTATTGAACAAAACCAAGTGCCCATTAACTATCACCACACTGACAGCGGAGTTCTGTACATGTCTATGCAAAAGTAAGCCCCATGCAGTTTAGTGGGACTCTTACTCAGGTGTGCATAGGATTGCCACTTAAAATACACATGAACATATCCCCTACACTCACGTATGAAGCTGCCTTGTGCTGGATCATATCATTGGTCCAGCTAATTAAGTATCATCTACTCTTAACTGTATGGGACGCGGGTGGCGCTGTGGGTTAAACCACAGAGCCTAGGACTTGCTGATCAGAAGTCGGCGGTTCGAATCCCCATGACGGGGTGAGCTCCTGTTGCTCAGTCCCTGCTCCTGCTAACCCAGCAGTTTGAAAGCACGTCAAAGTGCAAGTAGATAAATAGATACCGCTCCGGCAGGAAGGTAAACGGTGTTTCCGTGCGCTGCTCTGGTTCTCCAGGAGCGGCTTAGTCATGCTGACTACATGAGCTGTATGCCGGCTCCCTCGGCCAGTAAAGCGAGATGAGCGCCGCAACCCCAGAGTCGGTCACGACTGGACCTAATGGTCAGGGGTCCCTTTACCTTACTCTTAACTGGCATGTACTCGCCAGAGATTCAGGCAGAGAATTTCTCAGCCCTACTGTCTGAGACCCCTGGGATCTTGTATATGCAAATCATGTGTTCGATCATTGAGCTATGGCCACCCATGGACATTGTGGTGGGGCAGCACCATTCAGCTGACTTCCTGAGTTGCTGCAGCTTACTGGGAAGGAGAGAAGCAGGGAGGTTGGGTCATGCAAATACACCAGGCCAGAATGGTTCCACTCCAACTTTTTCTACTGTGCTGACCTCCTCACTGCTTCACCCATCCCTAAGCAGCAACTCAGTTGTCAGGAGGTCAGTTGAGTGCCCTGCCTGCTATTGGTTATGGCCCAAATTCCAGGGGTTTTCATGGCTTATGCGTAAATTTAAATGGCTTGAGGATTGTAAAAGATAAGACAATAAAATTTTGGTGGGGTTTTGTTAATACTTATTTCCCTTTTTGTTTTTTGTTTTGCCTCTGCCAGTATTTGGCAGTAGCTTCGTTATATGAAACAAAGGAGGGCTTCTCATCTTTTCAGAAAAGGTTTGAGCCATTGTGCTCAAATCTGTTTTAATAATTTCAGTGAAACAGTAAAGTCCCACAAGACACTTTTGGTGACTACAAAGGAGCCATTTTCTAAAGTGCTCTGAAAATCACTTCATCGATGTGCCCTATTATTCCTGTAAGAATTTTGTAAGTCCTGAAGCGCTGAATTTGAACAATTGGCTCAGCTCCATAATGAATGAAGCAGGTTATCTGGAAAGTTTCTTCTGGAAAAAGAGGCAAATTTCAGTGCCTAAGTTTGAGCTGAAATTTTGAAGGTGGAGCTAAATGTTATCTCAACATGTGGATGTTCCCAAATCTGTGTCAGGAGATGGTGGTAAGGGTGAAGAGGGATGCTTGGTCTGTGCCCTCTCTTCCTTCATAGCATTTTCTCTTAGCTGGGTTTGCTTCTAGTTTTGGAGCCTAGCTGGGGAAAACTCGGTAATTAAAATAAAATACATTTGTGGGAGGGACTAGCAAAGGAGTCTTGCCTTGGAAGGGTTAAACACCCACAAATTGTTCCCTTCAAGCCCCTCTCCCTCATATTGACATTACGTAGGATTGGGAATCTTGTGTTTCCCTAGGAACATCTAGCTCCACCTTAATTATTTTTATCCTAGATCAGGGGTGGCTTCATGGATCAGATCCTCATCAGGATCATTTTCAGTGACCATATTTGACAGATGGGCAATGCTGTCCATCCGTCAGTCCTGTGATGTCATTATGATGACACATGATGGACAGGGGGACAGCCTTGCCCACCTGTAAAAAAAATCCCTTGTGCAGTTCTGCAAGCCTCCTCCCACCCATTTAAACAGTCAATTAGAAGTTTTAAAGAGGATCGTGCAAAGACTTTGAAAGGGTTCTGCAAGTCTCCCTACTCCCCCCCCCGTAAGCACCTGAAAGGGGAGTGTGAGGAGACTTAACAGAGGCTTCAAGACATCCCTGTGCTCTCATTCTGAACTCTGAAGGCTGAAATGTGAGCTTTCCTTAAGCTAAGGTTACCAGACGTCCCCGTTTCCCGGGAGCAGTCCCCAGATTTACAAATCAGTCCCCATACGAAATCCATTAAAGTTGAAAAGTGTCCCTGGATTCATAAAAAAATAATCTGGTAACCTTACCTTAAGCCTGCCTTTAAATGTGATGATTTTGTTAAAGCGCTTTGTAAAAGTGCTGTTTGAAACAGCTTGTGCTGCTTCTTTGCTGTGGGCTGCAGATGCTGCCACCCACCCTTTTCTGCTTGCTGAAAAGAGAACTGTGAACTGTTTCAAACAGCACTTCTGCAAAGAGCTTTAATTCCTGCTCATCAGCTGAGTGGGGATTCAGTCCTGCTGCCTGCTGATAGCAGCAGGTGGGCGTGGCTTGAGGGAAATGGTTTCGCAGGCCATATTGGACACCCTGGTCAGCCAGGATTGGCCCAATGGTGAGAGAGTTCCCACCCCTGCCCTAGATTATGTGGGATTTGTGGGATTTTAATTCTTTCCACTGTTTCCTAGTTGCCAAGGAATAGCTCTGGACAAATGATGAATGCAGCTTCCTCGCAACTTTGCTTCTAAAGTAATCCCCCAAGTATCCAAGCAAACTCCTTAGATACGCCTGAGCCCCAGGGCTTTCCTTGTTATAAATGCAGCACTTAACTGTAGGAGAAAACCTTTTTATTTTCTTTAACCGTTGTACAAATAGCTGACACTGAATTGCTGCAGTACTTTCCCCTCCACCTACATTAATTTTTGACCATTTTGATTTTCTTTTCAAAAGATGAGACATTATGCTTGTTGTGTTTTCTCCCTACATGCACTAATGGTTCCTTGCTGTTTTAACCTGTTGCTAGGCCTGTTCCATTCTAACATCTTAGTACTTCTGTTAGCTTACATGTGAAATGCATCACCCAGTTTGTGCTTGAGCTCATTTTATTTTATATTTTAAATTCCTTTTAATTGGTTAATATTTTCAATTTGTTTTGTATTTTTTTTACTAACCTCACTGTATATTTTCAGTTTAACAATTGGCTGCATGCTAATATATCTATATATATATACACACATATATGTATATTATATATCTCTTGTTATATAATATATATATTATAATTGATTTATTTTTATTTTTAAAGAAAACCCAATCAAGTCTAGCCTGGATTTTGCTCTGATTGTGTTTTGGTTTCTAGTGGTGGGGGCAAGTCTGACACTTAACAACTTAACTTGGTCTCTTTAAAGTCTGACACACAAACAAGTTAAAAAAAAAAAGCAGACTAAGCACATCCGTTAGTTTTTCTTTGCACAAATCAAGTGGTGCTCTCTAGGTGATGGATATGATTGTATAAAGTAGCTTGATTTTATGCTTTTTAAATGTCATTTTTTTATTTTCTCCCCCATTGCTTCCCCTCCCCTTGTTATGCACAAAAGTTGCCCAGCACACCATCAGAAAGTGTGATGACCCTCCCTGAAACCCTGTTCCTGTGGAAAAATCTTGCCAGCAGGTGTTTTTTGTTTTTTTTGTTTTTGTTAATTATTTTTTATTATGTAAATATCTTTTCCCTTTTACTGGGCATATATTGCTCGTAAGTAGTTTTTATTTTATTTCTTTTGCATGCATATATGTAGAAAAATGTCTTGTTCATAATGTGTTTCTGTGGAAGAGAAGAATATATTATTGGAATATTTTTGGTTTGTTTCTCTGTTCTGTCTGTCAGGATAATATTGGACACCGCTTGCTACAGAAGCATGGCTGGAAGCTGGGCCAGGGCTTGGGGAAAACTCTCCAGGGTAAGTAAGAAATCTGATTTGTTTAAAATGCTCATTTTACTTCTGCTTACATTTCTAGATTCCTCCCCTTCCCTCAGCCCTCTGATTGTACCCATTGAGTTTTATGTTTCTCATATTGCACTCAGTTTCTCTTAATACTCACAGGTCTAGTATTGGGTTTGTTCTGTGAAATGTAGTTTTTATTTAACGCAGACTGAAAGCAAGGAAGACAGTACAGTTGGAGTCAACTTAGAGAAATTTGTACGCTGTCCTCTTGGTAGCTGACCATAGTACCACCATGATTTTGGTTTGCAGATGAAGGCACAACCAAAAAACAAAGAAAAAAGATATGAACTGTCTCAACTAGCCAGAAAATGATTCTTTTGCTGAGATGGTATATGTGTGTGTCCCCCAGAACAATGTGATTTGAAACTTGAGACAAAGAGGATGTAAAAGACGTTAGCTTTAATTTAGTCAGGTTGCTTGTTGAGAGGTTAAATGTCTTGATTTGACTAGTGTTTGACAGTTTCTAATTCCTTCCTTTTCCTGTTGTAACCTTTTAATTTGGACTTTAAAAAAATTCATATGAGAGAATAACTGATATGAGAGTTTTACCGCATTTGAGCTCTGGGGTGCTGTGTTGGGTAACCAACTTTTCAATTCCAAATTGGAGACTCAGTGAGTCATTTGCAGAGTGTGATGTAGGCAGCCAGAGGAATAAAGAGACAAGTTTTGTTTTCTTCCTGGAAGCAGAGTTCAGGCAGCTGTTGGAACCTAAGAATTACTGCATTGTCATACTGGTTATTTGGTTTAGCTCACTGTTAGGAGTTCTCTTTTGGTAAGTTGCATGATGGGAGTATTGCCATCAAACTCCTGATGCTCACTGCCTGGCTAGCGTGTGTGTATGTGTGTTTGTTTGTTCATTTTATGAGGAATCACTATGTGGAATGCACCACAGAGGGTAATGCAGGAATACACTTGTATTCATTTAATTGATCCTTCTATGCAAGCTGATACTCCAGGTCGAGTACATGAACAGTCCAAACAAAGTATTCAGTGCTGTCCTTTATACCGTTTTCTGCAAGCCAAGCCATGAGAACTTTCAATATTCATTTGATGACACACACCACGAAAGGGCCCCTATTCAGATAAAAACGGGGGGGGGGTGCAGTTCTTCTTGTAGTCCAGTTTAAATTGTGTAAGATGTTAAATGGGGTGTGAAGGACATAATATGATTTGAGAGGGGTGTACGTGCTAATTTTCTTGAGTTCTGGGGAGACTGGCTCCAGTTTCAAAATATGTCTGACTTTCATCTGCAGAGCTACAGTTTGATTTAACCTTGTGTTCCTCAATATGTTTCCCAGGGCACCATCAGACCCCCACTCCCTGCTGCCCGGCAAGCTCTTGTGTCTCTCCCAGTCTTTTTCATAACAGTTGGTTGGCAGGGATGTTGGCTGTGGTTTCTTTTTGTCTTTTGTTTTAGTTGGGTGTTTTTTTGGTATAGATATTCTGCTTGGTTTCTTTGCTGGGGGTGCGGGGATGGGAGCAGATTCTAAGCCATGGGTAGGTAAACTAAGGCCCAGGGTCCGGATGTGGCCCAATTGCCTTCTCATTCTGGCTCGCGGACGGTCCAGGTATCAGCATGTTTTTACATGAGTAGAATGTGTCCTTTTATTTAAAACGCATCTCTGGGTTATTTGTGGGGCACGGGAATTTGTTCATTAGTTCCCCCCAAAAAATATAGTCCGGCCCCCCCACAAAGTCTGAGGGACAGTGGATCAGCCCCCTGCAGAAAAAGTTTGCTGACCCCTGTTCTAAGCATGACCAGTTTTTCTTTTGTGAAATGGGTATTTGTATGGTGACATGATGTCCTAATGTGCCCCCAGGCCCAGAAAGACTGGGGACCCCTGATTTAAGCTATTTTCCCATCAAACATTTTCAGCATGGCCTCTTTCTGGACTGCTGCATGCTAAGATGCAGAATCTTCACATACACGCTAACTATATTGCAACCAGCTGTGATGTGCGTGGACTGGATGGGAGGTTGCTTGCTCTTGATGGGGTTACACTCCCTCTGAAGGAGCGGAGACATAGCTCGGGGGTACACCTGGATCCTTTGTTGTTGCTTGAGGCTCAAGTGGCCTCAGTGGTGCAGAGCACCTTCCCGCAGCATTGGCCGGTGGCCCAGGTGTGCCCACCTGGACAGAGATAGTGGTTGTCTATGCTTCAGTAACCCCTAATTAGATTACCGCAACACATACGTAGGGCTGCCTCTGAAGATGGATCAGAAACTTTAGCTGGTGCAGGATTCAGCAGCCAGGTTGCTCACCAGAGTAAGATGGTTTGAGCGTTATTACGTTGATCCCGGACCAACTGCACAGGCTGGCAAATAGTTTCTGGGTCCATTTCAAAGTGCTGGTTTTGACCTATAAAGCCCTCGAACAGCTCAGGACTGCAAAATACCTCAAGGGCCACCTCTCTCCATTTGAACCTACCTAGACCCTGCAACCATCATCTGAGGCCTTTTCTGTGGGGCTCTCCATTTGTGGAATCTTGCCTGGCGCCTTCATTGCATATTTTTATGTGCCAGGTGAAACAGATCTTTGGCTGATTAACTAACATTATGTGCCTTTTTAAATGTGTCTTTAGGAGGAGCGTTATTGGTTTGTTGTTTGTTTCGTTACATATTTTTTATTCTTATTTTTCTGTTGTGAACCGCCCTGTGATCTTTGGGTGGAGGGTGGTATACAAATTTAATAAATAATAACAATAATCCTGTGTTGGTATTGCAAGAGAACCAAAATAGGGTATTCCAGATTTCATTCTGAAACCTCCAGGGAAGAAGGGAAGAGGCAGAAGACTGTTGTGGTCAAAAGCTGTCACGTGTTCAGTTCCTCTGCGCCTTCCATGTTTATAAATGCTAAGCTAGGAGAGATGTCCCTCTGGTATTTTTTTGTATAGGATCTCCTTCTGTGCATGCACACGCACACACACATATAAACATGTGTCATGGCAGGCACCCCACAGTGTGAGAACTGCTGGTTTGCACCATTCTCTCTACATCATCAAGGGACGCGGGTGGCGCTGTGGGTTAAACTACAGAGTCTAGGGCTTGCCGATTAGAAGGTCGGCAGTTCGAATCCCTGCAACAGGGTGAGCTCCCGTTGCTCGGTCCCTGTTCCTGCCAACCTAGCAGTTCGAAAGCACGAAGTGCAAGTAGATAAATAGGTACCGCTCCGGCAGGAAGGTAAACGGCGTTTCCGTGCACTGCTCTGGTTCACCAGAAGCGGCTTAGTCATGCTGGCCACATGACCCGGAAGCTGTACGCCGGCTCCCTCAGCCAATAAAGCGAGATGAGCGCTGCAACCCCAGAGTCATCCACGACTGGACCTAATGGTCAGGGGTTCCTTTACCTTTACCTCTACATCATAAAACAAATGATTTTTTTTCCCCAGATTTCAGTTTTGTGCCTTTCCCCCTGCTATTGAAAGGTCCAGTTCAAAGCTATTCTATTAACTTCCACTATTTATACATCACTGGAGGTGTGAACTGCAGCTCCCTTTGTCATGAAAATAATATTCTGAGCTCCTGGCTGGAGCTGTGCCTAGAAGGCATATTTAAAATTCTGGCATAATGAGGATCAATTGAACTTAGTCCTCTTATCACCACACCCAGCCTCTTGTGGAATGTTGAAAGAGTGAAGAGCACTCCCATAAATTCCAGTTGTTGTAGGGCCAAGGAATAGTGTCCTGGCCATTCAAGAGGTGAGGGGAAGGGGGCTGCTGCCCGCAGACTTTTTTTCCCCTCCACTGGTGCATTCTGGGAACTTTTTGCCATTTCTTACAAGGCTTTGAACAATCTCCTTGTGTGTTTTTTGAATGGCCACTTGTATGAGAAGAATACTCTTGCTGCCTGCTTGTTCATTCAGTCGGCCTGTTCAGCCCAGTCTATCTCAAAGGCCTGTGTGTAGAGAGGCTTTATAATGGTCAGTAAACAGCACACTGCAGCATCTTTGGACTGCAGCATAGCTGCCGCACCACAAGCCCTAGCAAATGGGAGCTAGTTGAGTGGAATGATTGTTAATATTGGTTTGAAATGCTGGTTTGAATAATCTATAGACATCCTCTTGAAATAATTACATTCTGTGTCAGCTTCCTACGGTACAATGTATACAGCAGAGCCATTTTATCAAGATGCCTAGAGAGAGACAGCTCTGACTGAAGAATCAAATAGCTTTTCTAAATTCCTTTTGCAAAACAAAACATCGCCACACTGGTGTCTTATGTAAATACAGAGGGTGAGGGGAATCAAATTGGTTTAATCGTAATTATTGCTGTCCTCATCTAGCTCACCTGTATTGCTAGGCCTTCCCGGGTGCAGGTATTTGAGAGTGTGGGATTGTGCTGAATAGGTGTGTCCAGGGAACACTCTGCACATTCCAGAGCACACTTGCAGGATCGGCATGGGCGGTACATTGCCAATTGCACCAAACAGTGGCGTAGCGTGGGTTGTCAACACCCGGGGCAAGGCAAGTAATTTGCGCCCCCTAACCCGTGGATTTGCGCCCCCTAACCTGTGGATTTGCGCCCCCTAACCCGTGGATTTGCCCTAACCCCAGATGTTGCGCCCGGTGCGGCCGGCCCCCCCCTGCACCCCCCACGCTACGCCACTGGCACCAAAGCCCCACATTAGAAATGTTGGTGTAGTTCCTGAAATCCAGTGCATGGTTTGGGTTTTGAAATGAACAAGAGAGGCAGGCTGCAGTTCAGGGTAGCTTCAATCCATCCCCCCCCCCAAAAAAAAACCTGTGCATGGTTGCTGGCTTTACACAATCTCCTAGTTAAAGGCAGAGAGCTGAGATGGATGACTATTCAGAGGTTGCCATGGGTATGGCGGTCTTGCAACTCTCATTGGGATTTAGCAGCCGCTACCAATTCTCTGCTAACACAGTATAAACTCTACTTAGATGCACTCCACTGACTTTGATTCTCCTATCTACACATCTGGTTGTCAGAATATCAA